TGGCGGGTGACAAGCCCCACAAGTGCCCTGAGTGTGGCAAGGGCTTCCGCCGAAGCTCGGACCTGGTGAAACACCATCGTGTGCACACGGGGGAGAAACCCTACCTCTGCCCTGAATGTGGCAAGGGTTTTGCTGACAGTTCAGCTCGAGTCAAGCACCTTCGCACCCACCGTGGTGAACAGGCTCGGCCACCGCCACCGTCCACTCTCTTGAGGCCACATAATCCCCCAGGCCCAGCACCCATGACCCCTCGACCCCGAGCCCGGGCCCGGCCCTCTGGACTCAGCCAGCCCCATGTGTGTGGCTTCTGTGGGAAGGAGTTCCCCCGGAGCTCAGATCTGGTCAAACATAGGCGCACACACACGGGGGAGAAGCCATACAAATGTGCAGAGTGTGGCAAGGGTTTTGGTGACAGCTCTGCCCGTATCAAGCACCAGCGTGGGCATCTGGTCCTGAGGCCCTTTGGGACGGGGGATGGTCTGGCAAAGCCCCTCAAGGAGGAGCCACCAGCAGGACTGGAATGATGGGGTACAGGGAGGGTGGAGGGTCAGGAGACCAAAGGGATGGTATCTTGCCTAATCAGAAGAAAGGGCCTGGGAGTTGGTGGGAGGGAGAAGGAAAGAAGGTGGGAGGGGAAGAAAAGAGAAAGGAGTGAATGGATGGAGATTGGAGACAATGATCTTGAAGCTCAGGAAACTGTCCCAGGTGGGCTCAGTCAGGACCTTGCCAGTGTGGTCTGTACCCCCAGCTTCTAGAACACTGCCTAGTACACGGTAGGCACTCAGTAAATACTTGTTGAATTAATAACCTGGTCTTAGGCTGAAGCCCCTTAACCCTAAATTCCTGCTGCCTCTTAACCTATTAAGAATTGATCCCTCTCAATCTTGCCCCGAAGACCAGCACCCTGAATCGTGGTTTGTTCAAACCCTTGCGAGCTGCAACAAAGAGACTTGGGGATTCGGATGACAGAACTAGGCAGGGGCACCTTTATCCTTCTGATGAGAGTCTTGCTGTGTGGCAGGCAGTACCCAGCGTTAGGCCATTGGACATGGTCTTGGCTAGGAAGGGCACTCATACAGAGCCCAGACCTACGTGCCCTGGAGGACCCTAACCTACCCTGACACCTGGGCACTGGCACAATAGACCAGAGACAGCAGAAGGAGAACTCTGCTCTGCTTGCCAAGCCCAGGTCCTGGGGGACACCAGCAGAGATAAAGTGGCTGGGGGCAGGACTGGGTGAGGAGCCAGGGAAGTGCCAAGGCCAGACAGCCACATCTCCATGTGTTTCCTTCCAATAAACTGCTTCTTGTCTGAGGCTTGGACTCTGTGTGTGTGTGTGGTGAGGGGTGAAAAAGGTATCCAAGTGTCACCACAGGTGGGACCCCCAAGCCGTGTGTAAACTTGTGTGGGTCCCTTCCCCTCTTTGTACCTGTCAAAGGAGTGGGCTTAGTCAGCTGTTTTCTAGCTCCATCCATGCCACACCATATAGCACAACTCTTCAAAGGAAAATCACCTGACTCCATGGGGTAAGGGTGTTCAGCGAGTGCTGTTGCTATGATGACAAGTGGGGGAGAAGTGTGGGCTGCTTCCGTGCTGTACAGGCACAGAAGGCCCCGGCATGGATGCTCTGCCTACTGGGGAACCCACCTCCCTGAGACCTTCTTTGTCAAGAAACAGGTCATTTGGCTGTGCATTGCAAAGAGAAGGCAAAAGGGATACCTCTTTATCACCTGGAAAAGGAAACCGTATTTCCTATTGACTCATGTCTTTAGGAGCAGGACGCAAATTGCTAGCTTTTTCTAAGGAGGGCACCAATAGGGAGGAAGGAGTGAGAGGAACTGATAGGATTTGATTGGCCAGGGACAAAAAAGGCTAGGGCAGCCCTGGTAGGGGAGCTCAGTTGGTTAGAACATCTCCCAATATGCCAAAGTTGCAGGTTCCGTCTCCAGTCAGGGCACATACAAGAACAAATCAATGAATGCATAAATGATAGATGTTTCTCCCCCCCCCGCCCCCCCGCCAAATCAATTTTTAAAAA